ATTTTGTCTTTTCATATTAGTTTGTAAAGTTTCTATTAACCTATCTAAGCTTGCTGATTCTTTCCTCAGCCATGTCCAGTCTACTGATGAGCCCATGAAAGGCATGCTTTATTTAGGTTACAGTGTTTTTGATTCTAGCATTTACTTTTGACTCTTAAGAGTTTCCATCTTTCTGCTTACATTACCATCTGTTCTTGCATGTTTTATACTTTTTCCATTAACGATTTTAACATATTAATCATAGTTAAGAGAATGCTAACATCCTGGTCATAGTTGAGCCTGGTTCTAATGATTTGTTTCTTCAATAAGTTTTTCCTAGCATGCCTTATAATTTTTTTGTTGAAAGCTATGATGTATCAAGCAATAGGACTGAGACAAATAGACCCTGAGGTGTTATATTAATCTGGCTAACAGTGGGACTGTTTTTAATGTCTGGTAGGTGCCAGAGGCCTCAAATTCCTTTAGTGTCCTTGCTTTTGTCTCCCCTGTTGACTTTTGAACTCTTTAAGTACCCCTCCTCCTCAGAGTGTATGCCTTACAGCTGTAACCCACTATTACACTGGAGTCCTGTTGGTGTGTGGTAGTATGTGTATGGGGGTCGGGTGGGGGGAAGCATATCTACCACAGCAGCATAATCTAGTATAATCCTATGATTAAATCTCAGTCTTGGAGTGGTCTGTGACCTTAACAACTGTTTATTTTTCACTCCTATTCCAAATCAGTTGAGAAAGAAAGGCTACCGGGGCAGGAGTGGGAGAAATGCTCTTCTTCCAGGAGTTAAGGTTCTGATAAAATCTTTTCACCTCAAGAGTAAGCCTTGTTAAGGCCAATTCTCTGGGTTTGTTTCATACAGGTACTTCCTTCCATGTCAGAGCCACTAGGGATCATTCTTAGCTCTTCACTGTGAGAACTTAGTGGGTTGCCTAGAAGTAAAGCCCATGAAAGTGTGGGGGCTTCCGAAGAGTGTGGTCCCCAGGAGTTTTCACTCTCAAGCTAGTCTGCACTCAGCATCCTGCAATTCATCAAAATTACCATTTATTTTTTTATATGTAATACCTTAATCAATAAAGAAAAAAAATAGTGGGAAAAAATTACCATTTAAGTGTTCTACCAATTACTTTAGGGCTACTATGGCTTCTGCTCCAGTAAGGTAAGAGGACCTTGGCTGTGACTCTCTGAATTTGCTACTCAATTCTCTTATGAGTCTCTAAATTTTAGAGTCTAAAAAGTCCTGCTCATGTCTTTAATAATATGATAATTGGGGGGGGGTAATTTATACATTGTTGTTGTAATGAGAGTGATGATCAGGCAACCATATGCTACCTAAGAGCGAAGACTCCCACCGCTCTCCATCACCCTTATATAAGCTTCTTTCAACCAGTGCTCTAGTAGAGTTAAGTGCTATAGAAAATTATCTTAAAATTTTTTTTTCAATACTTCCAAGAATGCTACATTGCTAGTACCATTCTAGGCACACAGAAGCTAGTTTATTATATAAAATAAATGACTTAGCTATTTTATCCCTTCATATTTCAATGTGTATTTCTTAGAATAAGGATATTTTCTTACATAAAAGCAAATCACCAATGAGGAAATTCAACATTGTATACAGTATTTTTATATAATCTACCATCAATAGTCTAGCTTTGTCAATTGTCCTAATAATTTTTCCCCTCCAAAAGCATTCTGATTTGGATCATATATTCATTTGGTTATCATAATTTTTTAGTCTTTCTTTCAATCTCTAACAGTTCCTCAGGCTTCCTTGGCTTTCATAACACTGACATTTTTTAAAGAATACAGGCCAGTTGTCATTTTTAATAGCATATTTCTGGTTTTGGCTTTGTCTGATGTTTCCTCATGATTACATCCAGGTTATGTATCCCTGGCCGGAATATTACACAGCAATATTGTATCCTTACTTTTGATCACTCAAGCAAGGTTATCATCTGGATCTCTACCATGTAGTTAAAACCTTGCAAACATCCTGCTCCTCATCAAACCTTTCAGTCCTGACCCCAGATTTTTCACCCATTTATGATGCTTGCTCAATCAATCTTTACCATGATTACTGCAATGATTCTCTAATTTCACTTCTCACTCCACATTTATTAATCAGCATTCTACTATATGCTAAAGTCCACCCCATTCCCCTTTTTATCTCTCTCTCACTCTCTTTCATTAATATGGACTAATGGCTCCTATTTTCCCAATGCTTCATTACTATCCATAGTTATTTGGGTGCTCAAATAGTCCCTAATTTGACCAATGAAAGCCTCTTTAAACTAGCTCCTGGCTTCTTTTGATATACCCCCATCTTTTTTTTTTTTTTTGAGCACTTCGTCTTTTCTGATAACACCTAATATCTTCTCTTACCCAGCCCCCAAAATCAGCCATTTCTCCTGGTTCCTTTCAATAGGGAATGGTATTAGTGCCAGATGTACTCACTGCTATTAGGGTAGTTTGAGTCTGGACCTGTTATATCCAATTTGGTAGCTATTATGCACCTGTGGCTATTTAAATCAAAATTTAAAAAAAATTAAAAATACAGTTTCTCAGTTGTACTAGCCACATTTCATGTGCTCAATAACAACATGTATTTAATAGCTATCGTATAAGACAGCACCAATATTTATAGAACATTTCCAGCATTGCAGAAAGTTCTATTGGATATTACTGTTCTAGACCCCTTCACAAGGCAAATTTAGGCAACACAAGCACATAATCACACGTTCTCATAAGTTTTCACTCTCCATTACCTTTTAAATACCTTCCTATGTCCCCCTACATTAATTTTTTCTCATATTAAATAATTATTTGTTGAGCATATACTATTGGGTAGTTACTGTTCAAGGCCCTGTATATTTAGAAATGTACATCCCTTTTCTCTAAAAAATTAAATGTAATGAGAAGATAAAAATAAATGATTATAATAAAAAATGTATTATAATAATACAGGATGTTACATCAATATATACCCCATAGTGGGGATGTCAAAAAAGGCTTCCTGAGAGAAATTACATTTATTAAGTTTAGAAAGGTAAATAAATATTAACCTGGAAATTTTAGGATAATTTTTGGGTGGGGGCATTTGCTATTCTCCATCAGTATTTTTCGTCTCTGTTCCAATTATTCATTTAAAATGCTTTCTATATCTCCCCATACCTTGTCAAAATTCTGTTTATCTTTGCCAATCTTTTATGATGCATTTCTTAGTACCTCTGACCAGACAAAGCCCAACCCAAACATATACTGTCTTTACTGATTTCTAGTACACAAAAGATTTGGTTTATTTTTGTTGTTATTAATGTAATGGGTAAGAACATGGTATTAAAATCAGACTTATTGCTTACTAGCTGTGTGACCTTGGGCAAGCTACTTAATGTCCCTAAAACTCAATTTCTGCATGCAAAGGAGGGATTAATAATAACCCATAGTTAAATGTTTGAGGATTAAATAAAACAACGTATTGAACATTCTTAGCACTGTGACTGGGATATGTAAATTATATGGTCTACTAGTAATAATAATCTTACACTTGTTTCTGTTTTTGCTAGAAGTTTTAAATTTGTTCACACCTTTCAAATCCAATTTTTACATTATCAAGGCACACATACGTATTTTAATAACATCTAGCAAATCCCCTAAATTATTCAGATTCTTTCCAGTCCATATATTATGGCATATTCACATGTAAAATATTGTTGATAGACAATTCTATTTGTAACTACAAAATTACAAAATCAATTTCAAAAATGTTATTTACCTATTGCTTGCAGCAACTTTAAATAAAAAACATTAAATATGACTTCATATGTAAGGTCATTAAATAAAAATATATTCCCATTTGTAAATTCTGAAATAAAACAAATATTTTCAAATTGGTGGAGCATACTAATAATAACTGCTACTAAATAGTAAAAATCAATCTATTAATAAAAACCAATTTGTCAGAATCCACATTCCTATTTATAATTGAATCCTACAAAGCCACATTTATAATTGGTTACTAATGAAATAAAGCATCTTGATTTTTATACAAATATATTTTAAATACTTAATGTAGTCATAGAAACAATTATTAAGTGACAGCATCAAGATGAATTTCTTTCCTTTGACATACTCTTTAAAAATATATTGGGGAAAAAAGCATGTCATATAAGAACTAGAGATAAACTTATTTTGCCCTTCATCACAGTTTGTTTAAGTATGCATTGAGAGATAAATCCCTGACAATTTGCAAATAAATGAAAACTATGTTTTTCATAAAGAATGCTTTTAAAAAATATATTTTATAATTTTTAGAAAGAGGGAAAAGGAGAGGGAGAGAGAAAGAGCAACATCAATATGACAGTGAGACATCAATTGGCTGCCTCCTGAACACTCCCTACCAGGGATAGAGCCCACAGGCATGTGCCCTGACCAGGAATTGAACCAGCAGCCCTTTGGTGCATGGAATGACGCCCAAGTAACTGAGCCACAATGGCCAGATGTTTTTAATGAAGTTTATTTTATTTGTAAAAAGTGTATGTATGGACATAAAAATTGCACTGTTTACAGTCAGTCTAGAAAAAGGAAATGGAATGCTCACCAGGGTTCACAATTACCAAACCTAAGCAGAGAGCAATGCCATTTCCTCCAAAATAACTGACACCTATGAAGATTTTGCTTATTTTTCTTTACTAAGGAAAGAAATATGTGGGTTTTCCTTATTGCCCTTACCAGTAAAATTTAAAAAATAATCTTGATATGTAATTTTCCTTCAGGTTAGTTTTAGTAGTCAATTTTTAAAAATGGGGATGTGAGAAATTCAGAATACACTGCTGTTTAAAAATTAAATTCCACTAATACATTGTCAATACCTATTATGTCACTTATAAACTATATATTTAAAACTTTCTACATGTAATTATTCTAAATAACCATGCACAATCCATATCCTTTTGTACATGAAATATATTGATGGTAAAATCGTTCATGTTTCCTAAAGACAAACTTACCTGCGGAGTCCAATACAAAGTAGGGCTCAATCTGTAGAGTTTTCTTTTGTGGAAACTCTGAAGTGGCCTTGTTCGAGCTGCTGTACTCATGACAGTCAAGGATGGAGATTTCAATCTTGTCCTGTCTTTTCTCCTTTTCTTACTGTGCTTCTGGTTAAGTAACCAGCTACTCGAGGAAGAGAGCTCATCTAAATTCTCTGAAGTACTGAAATGCCATGAAATAATTGGGGAGTGGAGGGAATAAAACAAAACAAACAAACAACAAAAAAGACAAAGAAAACTAAATGTAAATTGCCTTAATCTATTATGACAGAAGAGTATTAATTTTAGCCAACTTTGTGGTAACAATTGGTGAAAGAATCTATATGAATGGGGAATTATATATTCAAGCTGTGGAAATAATTTCTATTTCTATTTTCTCCTGCAAAACAAATATCCCATAGGTTAGAAATGGTCACATGGGTTCTCCAGTACTTCATGTATGTTACATAGTGTTGTAACTATTTAAATCTAATGATTTTTGCATATGGGTGAAATTACATAGGATTGTAAGTTTAAAATAGTGCTCATCTCATCACTGCATTAGTTGCTCTTAAGCACTACATACAATTCCAGTGAATTTTGAAACAAAAATGCAATCCTACTATATTTAGGATTTTCTTAAACTTCTAATGATAAAGTCATAATTATAAAATAATGAAACAGATCACACAAAGTACATTTAGAAAGCATATTAATTTTATAATTATTCTTCAAATTAATTTTTAAACATTGTATTTAAATATTTTAAAGCTCAGAACCTCAGGGAGGGAAGTTAATGCTTATACCATACAAATTTAACTTCCTTTATATCAGTACATATATATAAAATAATTATACTTTTCAGGTAATACAACATACCAATTTCAACCTTACTGATATAGACAGAAGCTAGTCAATTTAGTATTCTCAAATCAACAAGTGAATCTGCTATATGTGATATATAAGTTCTAATCAATATCTAAGTTCTAAATATGCTATTTAGTTCAAATAGAATCAATATTTAATGATAAATATAAGATATGGTTTCTCTATGGCAATATTACTGGTTTTAAATCAAATTTATGGTTGCTATAAAATATTCTATTAGCTTGTGGATAAAACAAGTAATTGAAGAATGACTGACATAGAAATAAGAAACAAAAAACAAAGGTACCTAAATGGCTTATGTTGGTAAAACCAAAGAAAATAATTAAATATGAATTTAGCAACTATCATACATTCAACAAATACATAATTGATTATGCACTATTGGTCAGGTCAGTATAGGAAAAAAAGCCTATAATAACTATTTCACTTCAAAAATATTAACGAGTCTGCAGAAAGCTCTAGTCAATAATGTTTTAAGTCCCAGTTTATAACCACTCTAAAGATCTGAGAAAGACCTAACATAATGCTACTTTCAAATTAACAGATCCAATATATCCTGATGTTACTTTATGTGAAATATATGTCTTACTATGGAAAATTTTAAGTGCATCACTGCTAAATAACAGTTTTCTTTTGAGAAACCATCCATGAAACTGGGCTATCATGTCAAGGGTAACCAGAAGGCGTAGATGATAGCCTTCTATCAAGTTAGGCACTTGGCAGGGCAGGTGGCTGGCACTGAATTGAGTCAAGGTCAGGAAGAAGAGAGGTTTCAGAGGTGATCAAGTCACAGAGCTAGGATCCAGGAGAGCATAGATCCAACACTAAAAAAGATTGTTTGTCCAGCAAGTTAGAAACAACTTTAGGAAGATTATACTGGATCCTTGAAAGAGCTAAGGGCTCTTATTCTAGGAGCCTGAAGCAGTTAACTAACTCTTCTATTTACAACTCTTTCATTGTTGATGAGCCCTTAGTTTCCCCCTTGTCACAGGAGGCTTAGTCCTAAAGAAGGTGAGCAACCATCTCCTCTTTGAATGATAACATAAGCTTTTGCACTGGCTAGAGGCTCACAAGCTGATTTAAAGAAAAGCTTGTCATTCGTGTCACTAAATGTTGTATTTTCAACTTTTTAAGGTAGCTAACATTATCATAGGAAAGAAAGTTTAGTTTTATTCTTTTTCTTAATTTAAGTATGTTCCAAGCTGCAGACAATTCATCCTTAGATGACACTAACACTTTCTAACTACTAAGGATCCTTGTAAAGTGTCATCAAAAGTTACCATTCTCGACCTATATACTGAAAACTACAAAACATTATTAAAAGAAATCAAAGAAGACACAAAGAAATGGAAAGATATTCTGTCTTCATGGTTTGAAAGAATCAACATAGTTTAAAATGGCCCTATTACCCAAAGCAATATACAGGTTTAGGGCAACCCCATCCAAATCCCAAAGGCATTTTTAAAAGAAGCAGAACCAAAAAATCATCAGATTTCTATGGAACCACAAAAGACCCTGAATGGCAAAAGCAAACTTGAGAAAAAAAATTTAAAAAAGAACAAAGCTGGAGTATCACACTGGAAGTATTGTTAAATTATATCACAAAGTGACAATAATCAAAACACATGGTATTGACAGAAAAACAGGAACACAGAACAATGGAACAGAATTGAGACTAGAAATAAACTCATATATATATATATATATGCAAATATATAAATGGGCAAATAATTTTTGACAAAGGAACCAAAAACATACTATAGAGAAAAGAAAGCCTCTTCAATAAATGGTGCTGGGAAAATTGGAAAGCCACATGCAAAAGAATGAAACTAGACTGCTATCTGTCATCATATATTAAAATGAACTTGAAATGGATTAATGACCTAAATATAAGACTTGAAACAATAATCTACAAAGAAGAAAATATAGTACTAAACTTATGGACCTTGGTCTTAGAGAAGATGTTATGAATTTAGACCTCAAATGCAAGGGAAGTAAAAGCAAAAGTAAATTAATGGGACTATATCAAACTTAAAAGCTTCTGCATAGCAAAAGAAACTACCAACAAAATAAAAAGGCAATGAACTGAATGGGAGAAAATATTTGCAAACAATACCTCCAATAAGTGGATGATATCCAAATATATATAAAGAACTCATATAACTCAACACCAAAAAAACCCCAAACAATCCAATTAAAAAATGGGCAGGAGACCTGAACACTTTTCCCAAGAAGACATACAAATGGCCAACCAATTTATAAAAAGATGCTCAACATTAAAAATAAGCATTTTTGCATATGTTACATACTTCCTATACACATAATTTTTTAATAGTTACATGACATTCCATCCAGTGGTTATATAACATTCCCTATATACATTTATTTAAACATTCCCTATAGCATTGGGTTTTAGACTTATATTAATAGAGGTAAACAGAGGAAAGCAATTTTTTCCTACTGCCATTACTTTAAAAATACAGCAGGGGATGTTTTGTTTTCTTACTGATGTTCTGTACATCTCTAATACAATCACTAATGTCATTCATATGCACCTAAAATTATGTTGAAAATTTCAACCTGGAATGGGCTGTTAACAAATGTTTTCTCATAACTGAGAAGTGACTATAAAATAGTACGAGGGTAAAAGAATTACTTTATATGTGATTAGTTTGCCAGTTTAACTGCAGTTTTTCAATTAGGATACCCAATTAGAAAGGATGTCTGCATTTCGTGCGGTAATTGCCATTAGTGGAAATAAATAGCATGGCAGTGATTCACTAAAATTTAATTTCATATCATATTCTGGGACTCATTAAAGCAAAACAAACAGCAGCAGCAACAATAAAAAACTAGACATTATTTCAAATAGAAATTCACTTTCTCTGAGATAATACCCCATAGGGTAAACAAGGATCCATTTACAACATTTTATTTTCATTTTAGAGTCTGAGATCTAAAAACCAATAACTATCTCTATGATAGTAAAATGTAATGCTTCATTTGTATGAAGACTCAATATTTTCAGTTGCTCAGTTCCTGGTGACTCATCTCAGACCCTGCTGCCAAGATTAACAAAGCCAAAAACAACAATTCTGACTCTGGCAGATACTGCCGCTAAATGAGAAATGGGGGCTGGGAATCAATGACTAACAAGTGGACAAACAGGTGCCCTGGAAAATAATTAACCAAGAGAATTTGCTGTAGCGATTGTGAGAAAGCATCATTAAAATATTTAAAAACTGACCTTAAATACTTTTTAAAATTATATTATACAGGCAGTTCTATGTGGTTCACTAAAAAAATATACAGAATAGGTGGCTAAACTTTAAAAATTCACAGTTTAAATTTCTTCTAACCTACTTATAAATAAAAACCACAACAAAATGTGATATAAAGCTAGGATATACATATATTTATTAAAAGATCTGCACTTATAAGAGTATTTATCTGGCAATCCAAGTATACAGAATACAGCTGAAATAGCAAAAGTCTGTTAAATAAACTAAAAAGATCTCAGTAAGCTCATGCATGAAAGCTCACTCCTGTTGCTGTGCTGAGGCCTTCTCTCTTACTAGAGAATGTCTCTTACTACAGTACAGATGCATCTACCATTTTGGTCATCTGACTTTCTAATCCAGAGTTAAATTAGATGAGAGGAAGCAGGACTGCAGGAAACAGCCCTGAGAGCAACAACTAAAATGTGGAAAAAGAAAGAAATATGGAATGCTTATTACCTGCAAAAAATCTTGAAAGACATTTCATTCATTCAACAAATATGTATTCATGCTCATGATGTGACTCTTACTGCTAGGAAAATAGCAGGTAATAAGACAGATAAACAAAAAAGTCCTACTCTTATGGAGTTTACTTTTTCATCCAGGAAGACAGATAATAAACAAGTTTAAAAAATAAAATATCACACTTATTTCACTTGATCCTCATAAGGAGCCAGGATGCAGACTGTTCTCATTTCAACTGTGACATAAAGTTGCCTAAAATCACAATGCTACCAAGTGGCAGAGCTGGGATTAATCTTAGAACTGATTCCAAAGTGATATTCTTAATGGTGCGTTTTCTTCATAGCACTTTATCAGGCTATAAAATTACATTTATTTGTGCAATTATTCGGTTGATATCATTTTCTCCTACAAACTAGACTCTATTCCACGAGGACAGAGACCACATTTTTTTGTTCAAACATCGCAAAAATGGTATATATATCTGCTGTGCCCAATCCAATGCCTGATGCACTGAAGTTGCTCAGTAGGTATTTGTTAACTATTAAGTGAATTA